TTTGTTTAACCCCCCGCCCGGGGCCAGCGGTGCTGGCAGAGCAGGAGCCGGCCGGGGCGAGCGCGGGGAGCAAGGCCGAGGGCCGCAGCTAGATGGCGGTTGAGGATGCGAGCAGAGAGGAGCACAGCGCACGGCAGAGCTGTCCGAGATGGGACCGGAGAGGTTCATCTCTGCGAATTGCAACTGGTGTTTATTGCACCGTTATTTAAAAAAAAAAAAAAAAATCAAAGACTTGTTAAAATAAAAGATATTTTTTTTTCTTTCCTATCTTAGGCTGCGTTTGCAGCTAGAACCGCCTGGGAAATTTGACAAAGCAGCTCTTCAACAAAACTGAAACGTTTCCTGAAAGTGGTACCCGGTGGCAGCAAAAGGCTCATCGAGAAAAGTGTGACAGAGTGGGGAGGAAAAAAAAATAAATAAACAAACATCTTTGCGAGCAGCCTGGTGTCCCGGCACCTCCCCGGCACCAGAGAGTCTGCCTTCAACCCTGCGTTTAGAAACAAGCGGAGCACAGCAAGAACTCGCTGCCCGTGTCAGTGCCCTGACCAGGAGGCTATTTTTGGATCTCTTGTTTAGCATTAAAAAACCCCAAAGCTTTGAAGCTAGGATTTCACCCAGATGGAAAGAGGAAACTATTTGAACTATCACAAATATTTACATGGCTGGAAACTGTCGAGCTGTAATTTTGCCTGCAGCTCTCCATTTACCTGCCTTAAAAGGTGCCTTTTACTTTGCTTTCAAGGAGAAGCTTTCTGCAAAGTCTCCAAGTAACTTCTAAGCACCGATCTCAAAGCAGGGGAACCTGCTGGGATGCGGAAAAATACTGTTTCTTCTTTTTATAAACAAAGTCCCTCTGCACCTGCCTCTGTGTACTGCTGGTGGAGGAAACCGGCCTTTCCGTGGGCAGCACCTCTACACGCAGCTTCTGCTAAGCCGCAGAGCACAGAAGCAACAAGACATTTGGAGAAAGCTGGAAAAGAGAGGTGAAACGTAAGTAGGTGACACATGGTGGGAATTATCACACGGTCGTTGTGCTCGTCCATCGAATCCAAAACAAACAGGGCACGGTTTCCGTTACTTACGTTTTCATTTCCCCAACACGTGAAACTGTTTATGATCAGCTGCTGAGGGCTTGCAGTGGTGGCAGGGTAGAGGTAGGAGCTTCTGCGGATGGTGTCAGGAAATGAGATGCATGTTTTCATCTTTGTTGGGAGGTTAACAACTGCTCTCAGAGAGGCAGCCGCACATATCTGGTGCTGAGATCGGGGCTGAGGCAGCTGAGCATGTGCCCTTGCGGAGGTTTACCCAGATTATTCCCCCAGTGCACCAGCTGCCTTGGATATTTAGCTTGCATGAGCTGACTCGAAAAGAGCTTTTGGATCCTAAGCAGAAAATTTAGGCACTGAAAACTCCTGTGTAGGAGGCAGCTGCCCATTGGAATCTCAACTCCATGGGATTTTACCTTAAACTCCCCTGGTGCCGTCCCTCTTAGCTCCCCTGTCCAGACCACCCAGCCCTGGTGATTGTGCTGTGCATGCCCCAGAAGACCTCACTCTCTCAGCAGGCACTGAAAGCAAGGATCCAACTGTGTTCAGACCTGAATCGTTCCTCTGCTTTGTGCTTTGGAAGGTCCTGCTGGCAGCATCCTCCCGGGAAGGGCTCATCACAAGGGCAGCAAAGGTTTCTACCATCTCCTGAGGTAGAAACCTGCAGAAATGGATAGTGCCCGTCTTAACCCAGCGGTGAGGTGGCCACAGCGCACTCCCAGGACATGGGAGACCCACTTTCCAGTTCTTTCCCTTGGGAGGTTTCAAAGCTGCATCCTAACCAGGAGGCTAGAGGCTGTTCTGCAGCGAAGATGTTCCCACCCTTCCTGCTGCAGGCTTTCTGCCGAGCAGCTGGCAATGCGTTGGCTTCACACCTCTCCTCTGGACGTGCTCCTGGGGCTGGGAGGGGGCTCCCCCCGTTACCCTGCCATGGAAAAGCCCAGCATGTGGGTACAGAAATGTTATATCACATAAGTCCTTTTGTGGATTTAGGTGTGAATAAACAAGCGGCCTTATCAGTCCTACTGGAATTGCCAAGCCAAAAGTGACAATCAGTCAACGCCCTTGATAGCCACCATCCCTCCTGACCAGAGGGAGAGGTGAGCTCCAAGACTGGCCGGGGTTATGGTTTCATGGCAGGTCTGGAACCAAAAAGAGAGCTCAATTCCACCCGTAGGACCCCCCCCGCTTGCCTTCAGACAGTAATTTCTAACAGACGGGCAGGTGGAGCAACAGGAGGGTCTGTGCTAAAATCCTCGTGACAGACAGATCCATTGGGGCTGATGACTGGCCAAGCTTAACTCTGGCTCACTAAAACACACTCCATATCTGCTGTGCTACAGGAGGGGGTTTGACCTGTTTTTTGCACAGGAAAAGAAGCCAATTCCTCAGACTTTTTGTAGATTTCTTGGCATTTATCTTACAGGCCCAGTTTTTGCAACCCAAGGGTTATGTGGGGATATTAACTGTCATTCACAAAATTACATACAAATGGGTTGCTTGTCCTAATGGTTAAGCAGAAAATCTTGAAGACAAAACCATTTTAAATTGAAACCAGCTTGAATGCTGGAAACACTGAAGCTTTCCAGCCTTCAGGCAGCTGCCTGCACCTTCTTTCCCTGAACTCCCCTCTCCTGACCAGCCTACACACTCCTGCTCTTCCTCAGCCAGATGCGTGGCTCCTCCAGAGGCACACCTCACTCCCATTATTTGCCTTTTCCTCCCACGGTCAGCAAAACACCGATATTTGGACACGTGGTAGGTGAGTTCTCCAGCCAAGCCACTCTCCACAACTGTGTCCTAAAATCTGCTGACCCAGGTGCAAGATCTGTGGGCCTGGGAACGGACAAAATGCAGCTCCAGAAGATGGGCTGACCATCGTCATCAGGATGAGACACTGCAGGAGTTTTGCTCTGTGTCAGTAATTCTGTCTTGGTCACTTGAAGAGCTCAGTTATGTTGTATATTCCTTCCTGTGATTTCTAAGAAGAGATGCTTCCATGGGGGGGGCAAAAGCAGATATATAATAAAGTTATTTTTATATATATATATATATATTCATGTGTATATATCTGTATATAGGAGTACATATATAAATCATCCTAAGTGTATCCCTTAAAACATGTGAACAACTGGAATGCTTTTGATTCCCTGTGAGTCCTCCTAAAACACAGGCAGTTCTTTACAAGAAAAGGTTAGCTACACAACCTATTTATTTGTGTTGTGTATATGCTGTGCGCAGTCCAGGGATGAGGAAACGGCCAAGGGAGCTCCACGTCATGACAGCTGCCTATCTGTCCTTACCGTCACCACGGCTGAAGCGTGACGCAGCAGGTACAGCACCTTCCCTGCGCTGCTGGTGACCAGCCAGCCAGGAGCATGGTCAAAACAAAAAAACCCACAGCAATTGGTGAGGTTGTCTCAATACTCAAGATTTTTTGGCATATTATGCTACAGCAATGGGATCATCCACCCCCTGCACGCCCAGCTAGGAGGGAATCACCGGTAAAATAAATTTCCTGTGTGATTAAATAACCCTGTAGCTGAAGTTTGTGTTTATTCAGTGTATTTCTTGCCAGGAAACCATTTACGCAGGTTGCGCAGGTCTATGACTGCTCGTTCATGGCTTTAATTGCCAGCAATGGACGAGCCAATCGCCTTAGCGAATAAGGCAGTAAGTAAAGACATCATGTAAGTGCCTGATCATAAACACTATTTGGGATAAATTAAATCCTGGACTTAGGTTTGCTCTGACCTGTCTAGCTCATAACTGAGATGTAGTGCTTTAAATGTGCTTTTCGTTAATGAAACCAAAAATATCCCTGCGGGCATGGCCCAGTCACATGCCAGTGCTCAGGAACGTCATATGATGGGTAGGGACCGCCGGGCAAGGCTGCGGCAGGCATCTGCTGAACGCAGGACCCCGCTAGGTAGCACACCTCCAGCTCCCACCCCATCCCACGGCCATCGGCCACCCTGCAACTCAGGTGCTGGACCTGCAGCGTGCGGGGACGCGACGCCGACTGCACGGGCACGGGATGGGAGGCAGAGGCGGCGGAGTTGCGTTCCCAATGCAAGGAAGGAGCATTATGCACAGGGAGGTGGGTAGCGGGACGAGTCCTGCGCCCATACCCCAGGCTGGGCAAGTCTGCTGCCACCGCTTC